GAATTTAAAGCTGGGGGTAACCCTGGGATGGACTAGCATCCCATCCAGGGAGGAGTAGAAATACTCCTAGTCGCTTCACGCTACAGAAACCGGAGATAAGCGACGGTACGACAGGCCACTTGGCTCATGTATAGACTTTATCTTAACCTAACAATGTGAACACTAGCTATAATAATACTATGTTTTTATTTCAATCAACAATTTCCCTACACAATTCAGTTACGACCCTGCCTCTAACAATGTGCTAACAGCTTCGCTGCTTATGCCACAGTGCACGAGAGCCTGCTCGCAGGCTAACATTGTGCAATATTTTAAAACAGAAAGAGTGCTATCTGGTGGGAACCACTAGAGGTGTGGCAGGAACCTGGAGTAAAAAATATAGGATGCAGGAAATTAACCTCTCCCCTTACCTGTCCCCTCCACAACTACCTACCAAGTACACAAAAAGCTGCTCAGACAAGGAGCTCTCAAATTTTGCTTGCCCTGGACAAGTCTTAAGTTTACTTTTTTTTATTTAGTTGGCTGATGACTTTCCTGGGCCCTTCTCCAGTGGGCAAGTGAGAATGAAAATCACTTGTCAAGTAGGAAAATCTGTTCATCCCAGATGACCGGATGGCACATTTTTTCAGGCTCTGAACTAGTAAATTGTAATAATTCTTACAAGTAACAGAACTGATCTATCAATCTTGGTCTGACTTCAACAGCACTGATGGCCTCAGTGAGCTGCAGTTATTTTAAGAATTATTCAAAACCCAATCGTCCAGAACCTTTATCACATCAAACCTTTCCATCTTTTTTAGTATGGAATGGAGGTGATGAAGGGTTCCTAAGTTTTCCCCAGCTGAAAAGATCTGCATCAGCAGGACATAAGAGGGGCTTTTGCCCTGTGTCTGTTTAAGCTCTTTGAGGTACCTGATCTTTACAGGTGTTAACTCTAACTCACTAGCAAGCAATTTATAATCTTTGCCATCTATCTCCCTCTCCACATCAAGCAGCATACACATATCATGTATGACTGATTCAGATACATCTTTGATGTGAGTATTGTAGCTTCTGTTATCTTCAGTGGACTGAATTGGTGGTTCAACTAAAAGGCCACAAACTGCCCTCTGATTTGCCATTTCTGAACCTGAACACAGAGATCGGAACAAACATCATTAGTGATGACTGCAATATTCACAAACATCCTGCAGTCTTGTTGATCAATATATGCATCAGGACTTGACACTAAAACTTTTCTGCTTGTTTTTTAAGAAAGTAAATTTACTTCTTGGAAAGTAAAAAAAATCAAAAATGAACCAAAATACTTGACCGATCTGGATAAGGCGTAAGTGGAAAATGTACACAAAAAAAATAATCAAATGATAAAAATAACCATCTGGGGATGATTTTCCATTTCCAGGACTCGTTTACACCAGCATTTGCTGATCTGCCATATTGGAGTATCGAGAGAGCTGCTGAGTAGGTCTGGGTACAATAAATACATGTGGTATATATGGTGCAATCGATACCGCACTCCAATTTGGAAAGTAAAATTTTGAGATGGAAAGAAAAATTTGAAATGTACTTTCCAAATTGGAAAGTGGTGTAAAAAGGTAGTGTCAAGCCCTGGGGCTTATTAACATATCTTCCTCCAAAGAACAACTTTTGAGTAATCAAATTTTATCTTGGAAATAATTTTTGATTCATTTCTCCCATCAAAATACCTTTTTTAAATGAAGGGTAAAATACCAATAAGAATATGGAATTTTTAAAATATTTAAATGTTAAATGCTGATCACTGGTTGATAAATGTATGGCTTCAATCTTCAATGTTTTCTTTTTGACTTGTTTACCATGTATCTCTACTTACTGTGAAATAATTAGGTATACAGTCAAACCTCCACAAATGGCCACCTCGATCTCTACAACAGCATCTTTTTTCCCCAGCAGATGGTCTATACATTCACTCTTTTTTTTAATTTTAATAACCAATCTCTACAACAGCCACCTCTGCACAAGTCTATACATTCACTCTTTTTTTAATTTTAAAAGTGCATCCCAACTGCCAAAAAACCTCTTGACAACAGGCAGTCAATCAATGACTGACAAACGGTGTATACAAATTACAAAACCCCATTTTTTATTGTAAAAGATCACAAAACTTGATCTGTGCCACAGATTGTTGGTCCTTATTTAATCTGTTCTTACAATAAACACTTTTTAGCACTAAACATTTTGTACACCCTGATAAAAACAGGTGTTACATTACACCCCTACCTCCCCATATGCATAACAACCACCTCTACACAACGGCCACTTTCCTCTGTCCCCAAGGTGGCCATTTTAGAGAGGTTTGACTGTATAATGAAGAGATTAACATCCTTTTTACTCTTCGATTGATTAGTTATATAGTTACCCTGGGTAGTCACTCAATAAAAATTGATTTCGGAAAACCACTCAATAATAATAGATAAACTGAATTCAAGTGTTATCGATGATATCCGTCAATCAATAAAACTCGATACTCACATGCTGGCTAGGTTCAAAATTATCGATTTTATTGATTTTATTGGATATATCTGTTGACTTTGTTCGTTAGTTTGCACTTTAAAAAAAACTGTATCCATCAACACCGCGTTTGATTGTGACTTTTTAAGTATGGATTTCATAGATGTACACTACTGATTTCTTTCACTTATCCATCATTTTTCCTTTCACGATATTTTTTATATTATTTTGTTGCAAAGTTCATCATTTACATTGTTTTGCTGAAACAGTTTCAAAGTTGTTAATTAACATGGTTTTTGCGGGACCAAACGTTTCACTAAGCTGCATTCTGGAAACTATTCAGAACATTGACACCTAGTTGGTTCAAGCGATGGAACTGAAAGGCGGGCTAAGTTCATTTATAGGTACAGCACTTTAATAGTTTCATTCATGTTCAATTAGTGTTAAAAACAAAAGTGCAATTGTGATTTCTTGAAGTTCCTGATTCTTAGAACCAACAATCGTTTCCCTTAACCCAGTCCAACATTAATTTTACCTCTGATTTCTCAAACTACCCGATCTTTCAAACCAATTCTTATTTCTCTTGGAGGTTCAAAAAATTGGGACTCCACTGTATGAACGAGATGATAGTAAATATCATTACTGTTCTCTGCACACTGAATTTTTATCATTCAGTATTGAAATATTGTTTTCTTATGAGACTCTACAAAAGTTGTAGCAAATTTTATTGACAATCGTTTAAGGAAGTTGATATTGGTGGTTTTTGCGAGTTTCTTTATATCTTTTGTTGGTTTTGCTTTGATAGATTGTAAGAAAGCTAAAATTCATAAATTTGATCTTTATCGATAAAATCAATAATGCTAAGTAAAAAATTGATAATTGCATGTATCAATTACTAACAACGAATCCTGTTATTGATTTTTATCGATTTTCGATATCATTGACTAAGTTTTATCAATTTTTCTCGAATAATATTGATTTATCGAGTGACTTCACCAGGATAGTTATCATTAAAAATTGTTTTCAAATCAGGGGCTGAAATTAAACTCTTTTTTAATAACACTTATTTTTTTATCAGAATTTTTTATATGAATATTGAGGTTGAAATTGGGACAAATATATGAATAATGTTACAAATACACCCAAGGCTTAAAAGATAATGTTAAGAACATGTTTTTGCATGTTGATGGAAAATCAAATACAATAAAATCACATTATGTTTTTAAATGAACTTTATGTTTAGAATTTTAAAGCCAGCTAAAAATGGCTGAGTGTCAGATAGCACAACATCCTGAACTGGTATCTATACTACCTTGCTGGGTCCAAGGTAAGTGACATATATTTGTATATAAATAAAAGTGTGGCTAACAAAATTATTGTCTAGCTAAAACTTACCCATATCTTTCTCTAAAAGTGGTGACAGTTGGAATCTCTGCTCAGTTGGTTTGACAGCTGTCAAGGCACTAGAATTGACAGTGTTACTGGAAGAGCAGGGTTTGTTTGGTGGAGAGGAAGGCAGACCTGCATTATGATCAGAACAAACTAACACATTGTCCAATGATGATTGTGTAGTTGGTAATCCATCCTGACCTTCTTCAATGTGGCAATGAGATTGATGACCTATTAAATAAAACATATACGTACTTTCAAGATGAGAAATTAAGTTATAAATTAATATGTTCAAATAACAATTAAATTCCATTCTCAGGACTGATCATAGTTTAACAAATTAGTTTTACCTTCCAAATCAGATTCAGCTGAATTATCATCTCCTTCAGAAGCCAAGCATTTTCTAGTCCGCTGAGCTGTTAAATATAATAAACAAAAATTAGCATTTATTAAATTTCCTAGCTCTAGTTCAGCTACAATATAGGTAACCTGATGATTAAGATTTTTTTAATTGATTTAAGGGGCTGCAGGCTGTTCGGTATTCAGAGTATGTATTTAATTTGCTCATTATTAATTTCTTTCATTTTGTAAAAGCAAAACAAAGCAAAGGAAAAAAAATGGGTTATTTATCTATTGCCTAGTCCTTTTCTAGGGTTTCTTTTACCCCTCTGGATTACAGTGACTCATTTCATTCATTTTATTGTTTTTTTGATCTGAAAAAGGATTTCAAATGTGCTGATAGAGAGCTTTCTTGCGGTAAAGTTTCAACAAAATTGTCTCATTAAAGATTGCATAATTTGAAATCAATGAAATTTGACTCCAAGTCATTCTGGAGAAAAAACCCTCTGGAGGTTGTGTTCCCACGGCGTCCACTTGCAGCCATACCTTGACAGAAACACAGTAAATGTTTTCAATTCAATGCAAATTCTTATAATAAGTAGTCTGCTTATTATAGTTGATGAATAAGTGTAGTGGTATTTACCAAGATTTTGTGGCTCATTTTCAAAGGATGTAGGAATGTCAGGCAACAGGCGTATTCCTTCATCTGTTCTCAAGGACAGTGAAGTTGTAGCTTCAGGAGGAAGTTCAGTCAGTTCTATCAGAGGCTGGGCAGCTCCAGAATGTTCACTCGACTTTCTTTCTTCATTATCTCTAGCCTCTGACACATTAAATTCCATTTCCAAAGCATGTGGATTGTTGTGTGTTTGCCATGACCTGCACTTACAATACATACAGGCCACACAGCCAGAAGTTGCCAGTAAAAAGACAACCACAGAAATCAATACAACTGCAGTTTTAGGCAAAGGGATCACAATGTTTATATCAGGGCTTTCCTTCCTGGCACTGTCTTTGTTTACTGTTGAAATTCCTGATATCTTGGTGTGTCTGTTAGGTCTGGGAAAACTTGCTGAGGTGACTTTTATATATACTGTTTCTGAAGGAGCTGGAGCAATTTTAGTGACGGTACCAAGCACTGGTGTGGCTGTGGAATGTTTATATGAAAATGACATCAAGGATGAAGATGTTGCCAAGCTTGATAGGTACGTATGCGACACTGAGATACTATTTATTGTCCCCACAGCAGTTAGTGATGGTAAACAGATTGATGGCCAAGGCTCTTCAAACTTGCATTTCTTTTTTATTTCATCTCCATCTCTTTGACAATGTTCTAGGATGTTATGATCACCAGAGCAACATGAAGCACAAGGTAGGCATTCTTGGGTGGTTTTATTGCGAAAAAAACCCAAATCACATTTGCATACCACATTGTTTTCCCGAGTGCATTCTGAATGGACACTTTCATGCTTGCCTGAACACATCCCACAAGGCTGGCACTGGTCAGTACCAGTACTGTCTGAAAAATTTGTTCCAGGGACACAAAAAACACAATGAATTTTCCTGTGAACAGTTACAACTGCTTCACAAGGAACAGATGAGCCACTGCCCTCATTACAAACTGGACAAGGCCAGCAATCCACACACCTTTTTGTATTAGTATTGATCCTTTTAATATGTTGTGCAGTGCAATTTGGACACTGGGGGCTAACTGTCATACAGTTCACTGATAAAACACACACCTGCCAACCAAAACATTCAAGAAAAGATTGTTTCATTTTGAATTATCTCCTTTAAAGAAATTAACTATTGGGTTACATAGGAATTACCAGTATGCTGTTATGCAGTGAGTTGAGTAGCATAATGATAATTGATGATCCAATGACTAAATAGAAAAATATGTAGAACGTGGATAAATGTATATAATAATTTGTAGTTAGTTTGTAAAGAGCCCTCAAGATCAACTGCTTGGCATTTTTTTTTCTACAAATCAATAACATTCATCCCAAAACTATCAAAGATATTCTCTAACGCTCTGGAACATTCTACGAATGAAAAGTTCAAAGTACAAAGTACAAAGTACAAAGCGCGAACGGACTAAAAGTTTCTCGCCCAGACTGAAAGTTACGCTAAAAATATGTAAAAACGTCTCCCTATGTACGCTTACCGAGCGAAAAAGACAACATTGCGGGCATAATGAAGCGGAATTACACAAAAAATGTTTATTCCATTCAGTAAGGGCGAACTGGCATCGGGCGAACTGTCATCGGGCGAACTGGCTTTGGGACGAAACTCGAAAATACCACGATTATGCCGATTTTATATTACAACATATTACTGATAAATTATATAACAAGGCGAGAAACTTATCATCCATGAAATATATACCAGTAGTACGCTATGAAGTAAACAGGGATAATTCCATGAGCAACAAAATTTGGAGTGTCTATTCTGTTTACGTCTGCAGAAATTTGAACTTACCAAAATTAATGGCAAGACTAAGACGCGTAGGACGTAATCGACCCTCATTTTAGCGGACCTGAAGAGCACAACAACAAGCATTAAAGCTTCTTGTCCAACTATTCGATTCTGCAATACACTATATCAAGTGCACTTTATCAAGTCTGACTTACCTCTTGTGTGGAGCAAAATAGCGTTCCGCGTTAACTGAAACACTCACGAGCAGCGAACCACGGTGAGCGACCAGGGGATTACCCTTTACATGGCTTACACATAAATGAATAAATTACATAAAATGGTGACCAGCTCCTCCATTTTTTCTGTTCTTGCGTCGAAAAAAATTAGCCTGGGTGTCAGGGCTTTTTCTCGCACTTCTGAAACACAATCGTGGTGTAATGCACGACAAAATACGATCAAATGTGAAAATGTGTTTGAGAGGGCCGCCATCTTGGAAATGCACAACTGGGACAGGCTCGTTCCCAAATTCCCCTCTCTAGCGCTTTTAGAATATTAGAGCGCCTTCACATGACGTCATGGCAGCCGGCCACGTGAGTGAACATAGGCAGTAGCCTTGTGAAGTCTTTTAAAAGGTCGGCATTGTCCCTGCGACTAGTCCCTGCAACTGGACGCAACTGATGTTGAGGGGATAAGCCCCATCGTGTGAACTAGCCATTTTTGTCAAAAAAAAAAAAAATCCTCAAAACCCTTCGGGTGAGCTGTTCATGGGACAACCAATCACAGATCCTTATGATTAGTCCAGTTCTGGCCCTCTCTCTGTCTCTGAATTATTTTAAGGACGGTGCCTACTTTTGTTAGTGCACACACGTTCTGCGCATCGCGCGCGCTGGGGCTGACATTGACGCCATCAACTACGCTATCATGTACACGCCTAAAATAAAAGCAAAATTTTTCTACTGTAACCAAATCAAGTTTAATGAACCTGTACTTAAACCAGGAACAACAGAATAGCAGCATATCGCTAACCACTAACTGTTTACGTCTTCCAGCTGAAAAGCTAGCTGTTATCTGTCGCAAATTATGCTGAAATCCAACTGTAAACATGTACCTGCAGATGGCGTAATGCGCGCGCAAAACAAGTGTGAGATACGCAAATGTCTTACTTAATTGGGAGGTGACAGGAAAAAATGTAACGGGCACCGTAAAAGTTCTCAAAAAAGATCAATAACTTTAAAAAACGCGTGGTTACCACTACATTTTATGTTATGGAATGGACGTGGCAAGTCTATTCAACACGTGATTAGTTTCTGGTTGTGAACAAAAGGTATTTAGACTGTATTTTAGCTGAACCAGAGGAAGGCTGTCAGATACACTAAAAGCGCTTTTGCAGCGATTTTGTTATTAAAAACATATCAAAAATGTTTTTTTTTTTGTTACCATTTGCCATGTAGTTTAAAGATCTTTTTAAATGTGTTTGCTTTTTTGTATGCAAAGGCGAATTCTATGGAAATCTGTGAAGAAATATCCTTTCCTTCTTTTTTCAGGAAAATGCTAATGTCAGCATTTTTGTTGAGATTCAAGGTTAGTTATCTCGAAAAAATGCGTGGCTACCCCCATTTTTCTTTGTGGATTCCAATAGCCCTTGCAAAGACATACTTTTTCCGCGCGGTCCTAGCCTGGCGCAAAAACCTTTGCAATTAGTAGGCACCGTCCTTAATGCTACATTTTTATTTTATTCTTAATAATTTTGGTTTAGCATTGGGAAAGCCACAGAGTGAAAGAATGCTACCTTTTGCCCCATTTTTGTACTATATTCCTGTGCAAATAGTCTCCGCGTTTGGACGCCGCAAGAGACGAGTGCCTGCAACCAGTACCCTCGTGTAAATTCTTCAAGAGACTTGTAGCAGCTGGCACTAGTCCCGGGGACTTGTCCTCTCGCGTGTGCCGGCCTTTATTCCACGGCCAAACGTGGCTAATATCAACAATGACAACGGCACAGAAAGGGGAGAAAATTAAACTGCTGAAGTACTGCCAACAGTCTAATAAACAAAAAGGAAAAAAGGAAGTCAATATGGAGAAAAACATGGGTCTCCGTGACCTCCTGGAGTTGCTTTGGCCGGTCACGCAGTGAGAGGGTGTGGAATAGCCGACATAGGTGTAACAGCCGACATGGATTATTCCACAAATTTAATTTAGCGGTATTTCGAACTTTCCTAGATTTCAGAAAAATGTGAATTCACTGGAACTTTTAAAGTTTATTTTTGAAGATAGTTTACCGAAAGGGTCGTTTTGACGCAATAAAAGAAACAACCTTGGTTCTTAAGGTTCATCAAGTATACAGAGACGTCAAAATAACGTAATACGAGCATAAGGTAACTATAGCCTCTTTTATTTAAATTATTTTCTACACGTAGCATTTGGAGCAATTTCCGAAGCATTCTCATACATTGTCTTATAAACCGCTACAATTCTCAGATTCAATTCTCGATATGCGAAGCTCACAATAATAATGCTCTACGTACCAACCAATGGAGCAGAAGAGAGAGTTAAGGATGAGTTTTACGAACAGCTGCAAAGAGAAGTTGAAAGAGCACCCAGGCATAACGTGCTGATTATTATGGGGGACGCGAACGCTAAAGTGGGCTAAGACAACCGGGGGTGGGAGAGAGTGGTGGGAAGGCAAGGAGTAGGAAGGATGAACGAGAATGGAAAGAGACTTGCAGAACTTTGTGCACTGAATGACATTGTTATCGGTGGGACATTGTTTAAACACAGAGACATCCACAATCATACATGGACCTCACCTAATGACCACGACCGTAACCAGATTGACCACATCATAATCAATGGAAGATAAAGGAGGTCTCTTCTCGACGCCGCGGTGATGACAGGTGCAGACGCAAACAGTGACTATCACCGTGTATTGGCTAGTCTGCGAGCAGGCTCACGTTGGAGCACGAGCGCGCGCGGCGTAGCCACGAGCGCGAAATCGAGCGGCGAAGCCGCTAGACGAGAAAGTGACACTTTCTTTGGGTCTCTTCACCAGACTCCTTCCCGCCGGATCGCTTTGCTCTTCGCCGCTCGCAGGCTATGTATTGGCAAGGGTGAAGCTGAAATTGTGCAGGGAGAGAAGAGGAGGAAGGAAACTGTACGACACAGCGAAGCTCAGAGATCAGAATGTCAGTATGGAACAGTTCCATATTGAGAACCGAAACAGATTTGAAGCATTGGTCAACAATGAGGATGACAGCACTAAACAGGACTGGCTACAATTGAAGAAGGTATACTGTGAGAGTGCAGATGCTGTTCTCGACGAAAGGAGAAGGATCAAGTCAAACTAGAGTGGTGCCCAAACGTACAGGAGAATGGATGAGAGAAGGCAGATCAAAAAGCAGCTTGGGCGAGTCGAGCCAGATCTGTACGACTGAAAGAGCTGAAGAGAGAGTAGTACAAAAGAAAGGAAAAGGAGGTGAAAGCGAGTGCAAGAGCAGACAAGAGAAGAATGTCAGACAGCATTGCATAGGAGGCGGAAGTAGCAATCGACGGTAACATCGGTGACCTCTACCGCTTGGCGAAGCAAATAGTTCAAAGCAATAGTTCAGGCAAAGACAAACACGATGACAGCCATCAGGGACAAGCGTGTGGGAAGAAATCCTTGAAAGATGTAAGGAGCACTTTGAAGAAGTGCTCAATGTAGATTCTGCGGGAACTGAGTTACCCGACGGCACTGGTGCTGCTGCCGCACGGCAGCTACCAGATATAACAACATCAGAAATCTCAGTCAGAG